ATTTTGTGTTTTGGGATTTTGTTGTCGGGATTTTAAGCATTGGGATTTTGAGTGTCGGGATTCTGTAGTATAACCATGCCAAATATGTATATCTAGATATATTCTTCTTGGTTATTCATATTACATTGGAATAAAACAATCTTCGACAACGTCTGGAGAAGAATCAGATAATTTATTTTCAACTATTATTACTTCCATACTTGCGGTATATGATTGGTCTTCAATTTCATTCAATAATTTGAATTTTTGGCCACTTATTATAATTGGCGTAATTGGCAGTTTTCTTTTTGCAATTATATTGCAAAATGTAATCATTTCATTCATGAGGTATGTTCTTCATCTTGTAACTTATTATTATTATTCCTATTATTATTAATTTTACTGACTTTTGATTATTTTAAATAAAGTGACGCTTTTTCAGATGCAGTCGCAAATAGTAAACGTGGTGTATATCGTTTTCAAATTTACTTGATTCATGATTTTGCTCTTCTTGAAGAATCATTAGGATTTAATAATTTAGATTCTAGGTTTAAGGATAAAATAAGGGCAAAATATATCTGTTTTTATGATGATCCATCTATAACAAATTCATGGAAAGAAAAATCAGAAAAGATGAAATCAAAACCATATCCTAAACTTCCAATATTATGTAAAAGTGGATTTGAATCTTGGTCAGTTGAAAGTTGTGAATTTGTTTGGGAAAAAAGTGCAGAAGAAGATTGGCCATATGATTGTTTTTAGAATATTTAAAATAAAGTTTTGAAATATCGATATTAAAAATAGACCTTTAATATAATGTTACATTTTTGAAAATTAATGGAACTAATTGCCCGACGAAATTATTTTTGCATTTGGAATAATTTCATGTATTCGTTTTACGAAATCTGTCACAATGCAAATCTCTTCACGAATCAATTTAACCAAGCCGTTCTTACCATTTTAACCAAAATAAATAGATCAGCAAGAAAAATTCAATGCTTAAAATGCTTAAAACTGGGGATGAAACTAAAATTGACTGATGCTGAAATTTGGGGCTTTAATTTAAAATTTTAAGCCCTACTAAAACCTTTATCAATTATAATCCTAAAATCTCATAAAAATATGTCCAAATTTCAGTATTAATCACAACAATTAAATTATCCTTTTTGAATTAGCTTTGCATAAAAAAAAGCCCCGACCATGTAATGAAAGAAATAAGGCACCCAAGAATGTTGTTAGGGTTAGCATTTAGAATAAGGTTAGAAGTTAGGGGATTATATAGCAAATCTCTCAAAAAAATTTTTTGTTAAACACTGAAGTGGTTTTTTTATGCGGTTTTTTGAGAAATATGCGATTTTTAACAAAATGAACGTTTGTTTTGAAAATTCCTGATCGTGTTACTTTACACCTATCCTTGAAATCTGATTTGAGGATCAGGAGATCTGCGCCACAATGATCTGCAAAAACTGGCACAGAATTCTTGGGGTGTATATCATATAATTAATATCTGAAAAGTATTATAGATAAATTATATATAAGTATAATAAGATAGGATGCATATTAAGCATGAGTTTTACTTTGAATGTTTTTTCTAACAAAGTTTAAGGATAGAGTGTATGTTAATCATTTATCATTTGATCTTAGTAGTACAATAGGATTTTATATATAAATTAAAAAATATGTCACTAGTAAATGTTCTCAATACTATAGTTATGTCTTACCAAAATTTTGTAATATACAAATCCAACCTTCTATTTATAGAGGACGTTTAAAGCCGTGTGCAGTTAGAGTTACTTTTTTTGATGCAGTTAGGCTAGTTGGCCTATATAGATATCAAAAATATAACATATGCAGCACGTGATCTATATATTAAACGCACACTGCTTTAAACGACACCTTTTAAGGTAATTGTGATAAGTAAATAAATTGTTGGTTATTATAAGATATAGCTTTAAGCGACTCCAAATATGGAAATATCCCGACTGTATTGTGATTTGCTAATACAAGTGCTCTGGTTATATCGGCTAGTAAACTAAATTGTGCTGGTGAAAGTGGCACTATCTAAAATCTGATTGGCTATTAAATGCAATAACCAATCCAATTTTAGATAGCCACCAGTTTCACCGGCACAATTTAGTTTCACCAGCAACTCTAATCGGCAACTTCCAAAAACAAAGAAATTGTCCAATATGCTCATATGTCAGTTTAGCTAAAGGCATTTTATATGAAGTATATAGGTCCAAGAATTTAAAAAATGTCTATTGTAACGGTTGGTTGGGAGAGCGATGCACAATGAATGCGCAGTGTAGCTCCAACCGCTACTAGAAGTTACAGGTATGTGGATTGAATAATAAAAGACTTCTATAGGGCATAGTAATTCTATTAGGGCGACTTAATGATGGTGCGAAATTAAGGAGACTTTTTTAAGAGAAAGAGGTTCTCTCGCTTATTAAAATAAATACTTTACTTTTATACATTTCGATTAATATGAAAGAGAACATATTCTGGAACCTACTTTATGACATCAGAGGCACCACGATATCGTGTTAGCCTCATGTCAATACAATCACAATACTAATTTGGTTAAATAATCAATTATACCAAAAAGGGTAAGATTATAAAATTAATTCATTACACTATATGCAGATGACAGTATAACTGTTTTGTGTCGTTTATTGATTTCTGTCGATTCGGAATTGACACGTCTTTGAATTGGTATGAATTTCATCGAACGATGTCCACAGGCACTCATTAAAAATGCATATATGGTGCGATGAAAATTTATAAAAAAATAAATGCATATACTATAATGTACGTAGTTATATATTCATAAAAAATCCTGCTTCTATCAAATGCAATCCTCTAAACTAAGCGCTAAAAAAAACTATTATTGTTTTTTTTTAAAAAAAATATGAAGTAAAGCTGGTAAAGTTAAATGCACTCATTTTTAGGAAAAAAAAAATAATCTAGCGATTTTTGCATTGGCCACACAAGGTACACCCACATTGTCTTTAACATAATAAATTGATTCTACGAGCAAGATTTAGTGCTGCAGTTTTTTTACAACGGCAGCAATCTCGAGTTTCCTTAGGTGCTGACTGATATATTTTATCGCTAGTATTGAACAAAAATAATTAATAAAATGATAAAATAAATAAATATAATAAATAAAATTACTCGGAAAAATTATGATTCGAAACCTTCTTGCCTTAGTGAAGGTGTTTTATCCAATTGAACAGTATTAAGATAAAGATAATCGGGTGTGCCTAAAGGTTTAAGTTCACTAGCTGGATACCAGTTTTCCAGTAATCCAATTTGACAAGCAACTTAATGGGAATCCTATTGATGCAACTATTATATTAAATTTATTATTCGACTTATTACGTATTAATTAGCCTTTAATTAATTAAGATAAAACATATGATAATTATGTATCATACTTATAAAAATAAAAAAATATATTAAAATAAAATATTTCTTTTTTTCTAATTTTATCGTTATTCTTTTTTTTCGTTAATAGAATGGAAACACAAACATCTACTTTTCTTGCCCGTGAGTCCTTCGAACGAATACCAGAAACGTATATAACCAAAATCTAAATATTGGGCCACTCATTCCTTTAAATTATTTCGCTTTGGTACGACTAGTGATGAGTCGCTGTGCAGGCAGAATTTTTCGGAGGTCCGGAATATTTCGGAATTTACCAATTATGGCCTGCATTAGCGGAAAATTACCTTAATGCGGGCCTGCGCAGTAAAATTAAAAAATCTTCGATTTGCCGGGAACACAAATCTGTCCCATAGAAAACTTTTACCAAGTGATTTGCACTGCGCATCAGGAAATTGAACATGGGACCATGTAAAATCATTCAAATAAAACCAAACCAATTGACGATTGTCATTCATTGATCGGTGAAAATTCAAAAATAACAGGCGTAAATTCCGAATAATCAGGGATCACCCTATGAAAAAAATATACAGAAATTATCTTGAATTAATACTAAAAATTTTCCGTATAAAATTCTGTATGCAAATATACGGAATTGGTGGCGAATTCCGTATCACTTAATACAGAATTTTATATAAAAATCTTTTTTATTAATAATTTAAATTGTATATATTTTGTTATTTTTCATATATAATAAGTATAATTTTTTATATATTAAATATAATTAAATATAAATTTTGTAAAATTCTGCATATGGGGTGTTATCTATTAAAACAGCCCTTTTTTACAATTTTTTGAAAAATGAGTTTTTATTAGATTTATATAAAT